AAAAAATAATAAACATGTTATGCAATAGTTTTGCACAGAGCAGCCTCAATCCTCATCTTCCTGGGTCCCCCACTGGTGCTTCTGGCTCCTCCCCCTTCTTGTACCCTCCCCCCCAGCAAGCGGCTTGCTAGGTGGTATAGGTAGTACTCTATTGACACACATAATGCAGCCTGGTCCTGCCCCTCAATTCCTTGTCACTGGGTTTGATTGATAGCAGCAGGAGCCAATGCCTCCCACTGCTCTCATTGATTCCAGTGAGCAGGAAGAGATAGAACAGCAGCGCTTCTCTTGCGCACACCAGGCAGCGGGCACGTGGACTGAGATCAGGCTCAGTTAAGTATTTAGGGAGGCTGGGAGGAGCTGCACCCAAATGTGTTTTTTTTAACCTTAGTGCAAAAATGCATTTACAACCACTTTAAGGGCCCATTCACATTTGTGCATTTCATTATTGCAACACTTCTCAACACAAACGTGATTTAGTCCTAAAACTCCTATCACATTTTTTCTTCTGCCTATGCAGCCTATGCAGAGATTTTCCTTCACTTCCTATCTGGAGACACAACTGGAAACTAAAGGAAATTCTCTCTTAGTTGTCATAGGAATAGATGTCCACATTGGCAAATATCCCACTGTTCCTATTCTGGTGACAATTCAAAATTGTAGATTTTCCTTCACCTTTAATTCCAGTAACAATGGTCACCAGGACAAATAGAGGAGAGAGTGAGCTCTCCAGTGAGGACAAAAACAGCAATAATTATCTAACAAGGGTTCTAATCCTAACCTACTTTATCCATAATGAAAAACAATAATAACAAAATGGTATTTTATCAATTTTAAGGAATACACTGGTATGTTTACCTTTTTAATGTCTTTTAATTTTGTAAAGTTTTGTATTTTGTAAACTTTTGTTAAGTATGTAAAATACTTAAATACTTTAAAATACTTTAAAATTAAGAGTTTTTTGAGATGCAGAGATTATAGTATATGCACATTATACTCAACCTACCTGTGAAATCAACTTTTGCGTACTTTAAGCTGAAATCCAGGCAAGCAGCTAAATACACTGATGAAATACATGTATGGGAGCTGTTTTACTGTGCAAAGGGATTGTATTTCTATTCATCCAGTTCTAAGATTTTCACAGTTCTGCAAAACCACACAGTCCTGTGTGCCAGGACAGGAATTCAATTTTTTTCTGTTGTAGTTAGGTAACAACAGGTCTTGTCCGTCCCCTACCCCTGTGAGTAGACAGTGAAATAAAAGCAGAACACTTATGAGCTCATCATTCTGTCACTCTGCTCTCTTTTACTGTCAGCATGCTCCTTGTAAGCGGATTGGCTCCTTGTGCTTTTCCCTCTCTTTTAGTCTGAACTCTGCTGTACAGAGATTGCAAGAGTCTCATAGCAATTTATTTCAGGTACTAACAATGATTGCATTAAAAAAATACATTTGACAATTTATAAATGAATACAGAGCAACATTACTTTGTGTCTTTAATATCTGCTTGGAAATATTTTTTTTAAATTAGCATGGAGTTCCCTTTAAGTGTTTGCATTTATTTTGTTGATCTAGCTGGCAATGGGCATGCAATACTTTCATCATTTATTCTATTTGTGCTGCTATCATATTTCAGAATGAGTCCCAATGTGTTCCAAAACTCATTGGGAGAAATCAGCCTTTAAGAATAAGCACGGTTTTTCTATTACCCTCAATTTTTAACGTACACTATCCTATTTCCATTAATTATTTACCATGGTGTCACACCCCATTTCCATTTTCTGCTTACTGTTTTGCTAACAACCTCGTGAGAATTCTGATGCTGACAGTACAGTTCATTTATTTTACTCAAAATTATACATTCTTTATGGAGACCAGAGGATAATTGGCATGTCCTTCTTTTCATAAACAACTTGTGCAAAAATTTCAATATATTAATGTTTTTTTGCTGACTCAGCTGAATTGTAAACAGTTAAGAAAATATAATTTAAATGTTTTGTGCAGAATACACAGTTTCCAGATGTGTATTCTCTAAGAGAAAGTGCAATTGATATAGGAAGACATTGATCAAATTTTTGTTCATCTTCATAGATAGGTATCTGTTCTTTCCCATACTATCTCAAAGTACATATGAAGACATTGGAGTTTTATACATTTATAGTGCAGCCAAAATATGTTACTTTAAGGAGAACACACATAGGGAACAAACTCTACTAAAGTTTCTCTGGATGCCTGCCTTCTAAATGGCCAAAAATCTTGGGCTTGTAAAAATGCTGGCCAAGTGTTCCCTGGTTCCGAGCACCACTGTGAAATACATGCTAAAGCTGGCCATACACAGCTGTCAGGATACAGTGGGGATGGCCAAACAGTAACCACTGGCGGCTGCAGTCACTGTTTGCTTGATAATTATCTGCCTGGTTCTTTTGATTTTCTGATTAAAGATGTTTGGCAATAGGATGCCATCAGAGCCACCAACTACTCAATTTTGATTGGGGTATGGCCAGCTTAAGCTTGGAGTGGATGGAGTCCTGGTGTGTGACGTCATTGCGCATCAGCACGGAGTGTGGGCATCTTGGTAGTGTGAAACTATTTTTAATAAATTGATTATTGTTGTTTTACTACACTGTGAGATGGCCTTGCTTTCTGTTTAATGTATGGCATCTTGAGAAGAGATCTGGTCTACTAGACATTGGATTCAGATAGAAAGAGCTTTACAGCGAACCGACTGATGACTATTATCTGGAAGTTTAATAGCTGCTCTGTTTGACTATTTTTAAAGGTAGTTAAATTCTTCTGATAAGAGGCTCTATTATTGAGATGACTGTGAAGGGCTCTTCTATCCTTTGTTTCACCTCACAAGCACCAATACTTATGGATTTAAGAGCAATTACATGGACGTATGCCACTGATTTGTCCTTATGTGTTTGGACTAGCTCATGCTTGTTTGATATACACTCTTCCAAATTTTTGTGGTGGGGTTATTTTTGCTAATTTATAGTGCTGAACTTATTGTTATATCCTCATATACATGCTGTGAATCCAAAAAATTAAGCTTGCTGATTGGAGGAAAGAGATCTTATCAGTCTTTACCCAGTAATAATCTTGACCAACTTAATTGCTTTGACTGCATTGAAAAAAATAAAGTAAATGGTCAGGACTTTGTACAGAGTTTGGTGGGGGGAGCTATATTAGAAAATGTCTGAACAGATTTTAATACAGGTATAGGTATATAAGTATATTGTATACTACCTGCTTATTCAGGTTTTTGCCTACACTTAAAGCAATACGTTATCTCTAAATGGAAATTCCACTTTTCTGCCTCCCCTTTTCAACTTTTGGACACTTTTTTTCTTGGGGAAGGAGGGGGGGGGGGCAGGTACCTGGTTTTGACAGGCACCCACGCCCACTTTCCCACTGCCCCACCTGCAGCATCTTGGAACACGTCACAGGTCCCAGGAGTCTATTCAAAAGGCAGTGGAGAGCTGTGAAGCTGCAAAGAGTCGCAGCCGGCTTCCTACAGTTAGCATGGTGTAGCTGGGGACCCAAAGACTGGCAAAGAACTGGCCTAAGTATCGACAGTGCTGAATCCCTACACAGTTAACTGTCCTTTTATTAAAAGTCAGCAGTTACAGTATTTGTAGCTGCTGGCTTTTAATTTATTTTATTTGGGGGAGGGAGATAAAAAACCTCTTTAAACTAACCATACATGCATGCATTTCTTTTGTTCAGCCCCTGGGCTGAGCAAAATAAGTCGAACAGCTTCCTGCACACTAACCAGTGCCAAGGGAGGAATCTCCTTTGCTGGTTATTGTATTATGACAGCTGGCATCTGAGGCTGTCAGAATACCCAAAAAGTGGCTGTTTGGCTGTCAATTCAGTAAAAGGTCTTTCAGTAAAAGACAAATGAACACCTGGCTGGTGGTGACGGGGCAACCCATGGCTCAAATTTTAACAGATTCAGCAGGAATCTGTTGAAATTCAAAATGTATACAGCGCCCTTTAAACCTAAACAATTTATAATAACAGAGCAAATCCTTGCAGATCTCGCTCCCCGATACAGACCATTGGGGGCCCATTGTAACTTTACTAAGTGTGCAACTTCAATATGGAAGAAATATATAGAGATGCTTTAAGAAGGATGAGAAACATCCACATCGGAAAGACTCTGCTTTCTATTGCCTCCCTAAGATTTCAACACAAAATCTTTAGGATAGTGCTACACAGTCCTCTGATACAATATCTTGTGTGACAAGAGTCCTTACTCATCAATAGAGTACCCTAAAAATTATGTTAAAATACTGGAAAAAGTATCATCAGTGATCATCAGGTATTCCTAGGACAATGAGACTTGATTTAATGAAGGAGTTGAGTATCTTCACTCAATCCATTGTAGGTGTGTTCACTTTAATTACTCAGTCTTGTTCAGATGACATAAACAAAGAGAAATTTGATTTTCAGATGAATAGATAACTGATTTGAATCTTCCCAAATTTTACTGAGTAAATATTCTCATTTCCTTTACTAAATCAGCCTCAACATATCATCTACAGCAAATACATACAGTACCTGCTTACATTACCAGCACTGAAAGGTAAAATTCCCATACTAGTAACATGAATGTGCTTGTGTATCAAATGTTTGAAAATCTTAATGGCATTACTGGAAGCATACTGTCAGCTCCCAAAGCTATAAATAATTAACTCTGTTAATTGTAAATGCGGGAAAAAACATGATAGAATTTCATCAGGATCCAATTTCCTCTAAAAACAGACAAATATAATAAGGTCTGAGAAATAACCATTAGAATACATTGAAAGCTCAGAGTCTTCATGGGTGGACTGACTCTCAGCATTGCACTCCTCTAACCTTTCAGTTCACAGGAGAAGGGGGACGCTTTGCTGACAGATTCAAACTGAGTCACAGCAGAAGTAATACTGTTATGTCTGCCGCTGTTGTTTTTCTCCTGGTTTTCAGTATTACGTTCCCAAGAAATGAAAATAAAACACACACTGCAAAATGACAACCGTTTGACTAAGTGTTTGTTCAATCTTTCAACAGTGCTTGGAGCCATGCAAGGAAAACTGGGACTTGAAAAAGAATAGCTGCCAAAGTCTCTGTGAGGTATGTCGGATTTATTCTGTACCAGGAAAGATTTTTTCCCTCATAAAAGATGCCATGTTGAAACTTAAAAGATGTCTTTGATTTTGGTAATCCTCTGCTTTTTGTTTTGAGTTCGTTCATAGCTGCTCTTTCCTTTCATTTAAATTGAAACAAACATGTATTCCTTGGGGTTATTTTTGAGTTAATATTGCAAACATTCCCTAAAAGTGATTTTTATATTATACATTTATGATTGCTATTCTCTCAGCTTTCTGTCCTGATAACTAACTGTTATCTGTTAGCAGTGCTGTTGGCCCTGCCCAGTTCTCTCTGTGGACTATAGATCAACTCCAACCCCATGCTCTAGTTGCGGCAAATGGGTTAGATGTGGCTCTTTGCAAGCCTTTATCTGACCCTGCCACTGATGCCAACAATAGGGCACTGTTTCTTCCACTGATACCAATGATGGGATACTATTCCTTCCACTAATACCAATGATGGGGTACTACTCCCCCTCCTACTGACCACCAACTCTGAGGCTATGTTTATTCTCACTGATGCTGGGCCCGGGATATTCTCTACCCTCACTGGCCTTCCTGAAAACTGAAGGACAGTAAACTGGCCCTTTGTTTAAAAGGTTTGGAGGCCCCTGCTCTAGAGATGAGGAGAGGGGCAGATGTTCATTTAGTCCAAACACATTTCCTGTCCTAAAGTGAAGTTAAATGCATTGGCTTTACTTGACTCTCTTAACCAACAAACATTTCAGAAAGACCTCTGAGTGATAAGAACTTTCATACTGGGTACTCAGCAATACCTACCCTATGGTGAAAATAAAGGAAAACATAGCTTTAAACAAATAACTAATGCAGCCATCCTATATAATGACTGGTAAGCTGAAATGCATTACATTTTTGTTCTTGAATACACTTTAACTGAAGTTGAACAAATCAGTTCCAAATCTTTCAGTTTGCTGATGTGTTCACAGATTAGGAGTGAACAAGTGCAAGAGGCCTATACATACTCAGTTAAAAGACAGTAAGCCTGCATTAAGAAAAAAGTAAGAATGACACTGTATTGTAGACTCCATAAAATACCTGCATCTACCAACTCTGGATCTGCAACTGGTGCCTACTGAAAACTATGTGTTTATGATGACTTTTTGAAAGTCAGTATTTATATAGGGCTTGATATAGCCCTCCAAGCCTAGTCACAATTCTGGAGAATAGAAATTGGCTGCTCACTTACTAAACACCCCAGTACCAGATTTTTTTAGACTCCTGCAGTAGAACAAGAAGGTAGGGTGCATAGTGAATGAAGGAACAGATACCTGGTGGTACTGACTATAGAGTCTCATTCTTACTCTTAAAGTCCTCCTTTTCACCTTGTCCAAACTGAGAATGTCTTGTATTCTGTGAATGGTGGCGGTGTGAAGCTATCCTCAGTGGTCAGTTAATGTGCAGTGGGGTAGCCACTCAGCATAAGACCCCAATGATAGAGACCATTACTGTAGTTGTACTGACTATTTCAGTGATTTTCAGCTTCCATAGCAGTCTCCTAAAGTGTTGCTAAACCCATGGCCCTGCATTCACTATATCTGGTCTCCCACAGTACACACAACATGGAAATGCAATTATTTTAGTAAATATAACTGTTAAATACCTTTTTCTCATTATCAGTTAGAGCAGTCTTGTGACTTCTATCAGTGTCCAGCTGAGCACTGGTTAAAGCTTGTAGGAGGAGTTTTAATTCTGTTTTAGGAGGATACAGGAAACTTGACCCTCTGTCTGGACAGTGTTGATTGGCTCTGTGCTGATTGCATGCACCCTCCCAAGAAAAAAAAAACCTCTCTAGCCATGCACACCAAACTGAGCATGCACAGAGTGACTCTAGACCTCTGTTCTATCAGGAGAAAAGAGGGGAGCACTGGAAGAAGGGGAGGATCAGGGAAGACAGGCTCAAACATTCTTTTTACAAAATGTGGAGGATTAACCTCTTAGGTTCCACAGTGAGTATAACAAGCATGCTTTACTATATATACAGACCGATTTTACTGTTGTGGGTTTAGTAACACTTTTAAAATAGACCAATGTAAGTCTGGAGTTCAGCTTAAATATCTGTTTCCTTTAACTCAAAGGCCACCTGAGCACTTTAATTTCATCTACTGTATCCACTGATAGGCCATAAGTCAGTTTGCTTATTTCTGAGTAATTCTTTTCTGGACATTAGTTGATATAGTAGAAGACAAATTTAGCATTTTGTTCGGAATCTGGTATTGTTCAGAACTGTATATCATGTAATGTCCTCTGGTCCTGTTGTAAAAATTCATATGAATTAATTCTGTTTAAAGAAATAGATGTTAGTTACTATGACTATAGACTCAGTTACTATGCACAAGGAATAACTCAGGATATTCTTAGATTTGTCTAACTGCCCTTAGAGTAATTTTAGGTAAGCCAGTCTGCTACCTTAATTAGTACAGCTTGACATGTTAGGGGTGATATTGCCAGGAGGTGCAAAATGTAAGGTAGACATAAGAAATCTATCAGATTGGCGTATATATATTGTATATCCTGGAAAATACATTGCATCTCAGTAATGTTTTGGAAGCTATTCTAAGTCCTAAGTAATTGGATATGTTTTACTCATCAAACAAGACTAATTTTTTTTATATTCTTAGTTAAAGCAAATTCAACAAAGGTCTTAACATAAACATAAAATGAGACTTTAGCGAGGCTGGGGATCCTCCAAACCTAGAGCTTTTACAGTATAAAGTTAGTAACTTCAACAAAAATCTGAACTCAAGTACTTCTCCCCTACTTTCTAGCCAAAGCAGCGCATAAGTAAGGAAAAATCCTGGTGGGGACAGGCAGAACAACAGAGTCTTCTATTTATGTCTCTGTTCCGAGGAGTAGAAACTGCCATTGTTGACCTTTTGTTCTCTTTCCTGGCTTCAGTATTTTTAAGTCACTAATAAATAGAAGTATGCAGGTTAGGTGTTCTGATTTTTCTGATCTGCATTCTTATTCCAGGATAGTGAATCAAAAAATATTGAAGTCATAGACAGATGGGTGACTAGCATTATCAGAAAGGAATCAACAGTAGCAACCTACACATTTGTCTTTGCACAGGTTTCCTTTACCACCATGTTCCTCCAACTTCTGCAGCAGTCACCACTTGTCCAAGCTATTGTGTGATTTGCCATAGATATTTATGATGAAATTTGCTCACTGAAACACAGGCTGTGGAAGTGCCTGCTGAAGGACATAGAGTAGAAAATGCTTGGGGCTGGACCAAGGTGAACCAGCAATGACTCATTTCACTTGGGCACAGAGGAAATTCATATTTGCAGTTTTGTCCATCAACACATGCCACTGACTTCTATCAATATTGTTCTGTAGCCTGAAGGTCTGCTTTAATATTTTCACTTGGCAGATAAAAATGTAGAACAAATACACCCACTTATTGGAGATTCGATTATTTGTTATGTGCTATTGAAATATTTGTAGCATTTTCTTCTGAGAAACACATCTATATTCTTGAGACTTAAACTTGGAGTTTTTATAATGTGTGTGCAGTAACAGTAACAGTTAGATGTTAATAAATTATCTCTTCCCACAATTTCCCTGTGCATATGCATTTCAGACAAGCGTATGTTTCTCTAGATGGCTTCATGCACTGACCCAGCCTGAATGATGTACAAATGAAACTTTCCTATTAGTCAAACCAACTGTTCATCTATATAGTACAAGTTGCTACTTGTACTATAAGTCCATCCGTGAACTTTCCTTGCTACTAAATATTCCATAGTCAACTGTTAGTGGTATTATAACAAAGTGGAAGCAACTGGGAACAGCAACTGAGCCACGAAGTGGTAGGCCACATAAAATAACGGGGTCAGCGCATGCTGAAGCAAACAGTGTGCAGAAATCGCCAACTGTCTGCAGAGTCAATAGCTAAAGCCCTCCAAATTTCTTGTGGCCTTCAGATTAGCACAACAGCAGTGCATAGATGGCTTCATGGAATGAATTTCCATGGTCAAGCAGCTGCATCTAGGCCTTACTTCACCAGGTGCAATGCAAAATGTTGGATGCAGTGGCGTAAAGGACGCCACCACTGGACTCTAAAGCAGTGGAGATTTGTTCTCTGGAGTGATGAATCACACGTCACTGTCTTGCAATTCAATGGACATGTCTGGGTTTGGCAGTTGCCAGGAGAACAGTACTTGCCTGACTGCATTGTGCCAAGTGTAAAGTTTGGTGGAGGGGGGATGATTGTGTGGGGTTGTTTTTCAGGGGTTGGGCTTGGCCCCATAGTTCCAGTGAAGGGAACTTTTAAAGTGTCAGCATACCTAGACATTTTGGACAATTTCATTCTCCCAACTTTGTGGGTACAGTTTGGAGATGGCCCTTTCCTGCTCCAACATGACTGCGCACCAGTACACAAAGCAAGGTCCATAAAGACATGGATGAGCGAGTTTGGGGTGGAGGAACTTGACTGGCCTGCACAGAGTCCTGACCTCAACTCGATAGAATACCTATGGGATGAATTAGAGCGGAGACAGAGAGCCAGGTCTTCTTGTACGACATCAGTGCCTGACCTCACAAATGCGCTTCTGGAAGAATGGTCAAACATTCCCATAGACACACTCCTAAACCCTTGTGGACAGCCTTCCCAGAAGAGTTGAAACTATTATAGCTGCAAAGGGTGGGTCAACTCAATATTGAACCTACAGACTGAGACTGGGATGCCATTAAAGTTCATGTGCGTGTAAAGGCAGGCGTCCCAATACTTTTGGCAGTATAGTGTGTGTTTTTAATTCATGGAAACTCTTTTGTGTTAAAGGAACACTATTGTGAAAAATATTGTATCCTCTGTATGCAGTAATAAATAAAATATAGTAGTCTATATTAAATTGTAATTCCAGACTATACCTACTGTAACTAGTCTTAAAAATACTCCACCAACTCTCCTAGCACCTATGCTAACTAACCTGTGCAAGAAACATGTATATACTTACCTATTTTCAGGCCTCTCTGGCCTGGTCATGTGTTTCCCCTGTGCTAGCCAGCTGGCTGCATGGGGGAGGAGAGAGTACTCAACAACGGCTGGTAATACTTGGGAGACATCACTCATAGGCTCCTACGGCACATCTGTTGTCAGCGCTCCCTCCCCGCTGCTGGCTGACACAGGGGAAATCACGTGACTGGACAAAAGAGGCCTGAAATAGGTAAGTAGAGGGAGGTGTTCTGTAATCCACAGAGGAAATTGGAAACAATGCTAATGAACAACATTCAGCAAAGCAGAGAGCATAGACAGTTAAGCTCACAAGATTTCTGTGGTTTTTATTTTTTTTGTTAAACGAACAGAAATAATGAAACATTTTAAGATTTTAATTTGTATATTATGAGAAGTTCATTGTTAGGGTTTACATACACGTTAACCACATACAGTTTAATGCTTCCAATGGTATATTTAACAGTCCAAGAGGGAGCAAATAAGAGAAGTTCATTATTAGTGTTTAAATGCACTGTAACCACATACAGTTTTCATAGTTCAATATTTTTAGCAATAGCGATCCCTTAATTGTGCATCTGACTGAGGTTCCAGACAGTTAACAACATGACATAGTTAGTTATACTAGTTTCAGGAGACTACAATTTTCTCTTTCTGCCAGCTAACATTTGCGGTACAGCTGTAGACAGTGCAATCCTCTGTAAATCTGTTAGCCTCACACTGATTAGTGATTGAACCTATATTTAGAACTTCAAAGACTAGTAATGAAGAGCAAAACACTTAGGGCTCAAGAAAAAAGAGCAAGAAAGAGAAGGCCATGGGGCAAATTAGACCCCAAGGGATAATAAACAGTTTTAATTAACTAGCTACAAATTTGCAATTCACAGACGGCTATCCTGTTCTTTCCACATGAGCATTGCTTTTAAGTTAAATCATTACAGAAGTGATAAACCTTACATTAATCTTGTTTTATTTATACAATAGAATTATTAACAGCATCTATAATTATATACTTAATCTCTGGGTGATTAGCTGCTGAGAATATTTGTAAGAATGAAGGCTTTATTTCTGTGCAGAATGAATCTCTGATCAGTAGATGTTAGAGGCTAGTCAGGTCAAAGTGGTAAAACCATTGTCCGCCTATTGGACATACACAGTGACTTTTATAAGGCTTCACTTTGAAAAAGATGTCCTTGCTTATTACAAAATATATCAAGATTGTTGGAACCCCAGATTCCAAATCAGCTTGTCACATTGATAGATGGCTCCCTGTGTGGCCCCAAAACACCATTGGTGTTATAGCTTATAAGTGAATCAAGGCCTTTTATGCATCTTACTTCGGTGTCCTGAATTCCTCTTTATTTGTGGGGCCTCTGCTGGCATGTTCCCCCCACTTTAATCCCAAGCCTTGGGGTCATTGTGTGGGATGGATTTGTTTTTCAGATGCCCAATCCAGACCATGGTTTTGGTAAGCAAAATAAGCTGGCTGCTCAGGAAGCATTATTTTAAGGGGTTACTTGTCCAATATATAATCATTTCCCCACCTTTCTTATGTAAAGGTGGGAAAGTAGTGGGAAATAATGGAAGCTAAAGCAGAAATAAACTTACCTTTGGCTTTGCGCTTTTTGCCTGATGCATCTCTGTGTTGTCTGTTGCAGGCAATGCCATCTTTGCAGATGCTTCTCCCACTGTTAACATCTTATTTTATTAATAGGGTGATGGGATGTGCATTCTGGTTTGCCATGACAAATCTTTTACTAAGGAGGCACAGCAGAGTACAAAATACACTAAATACAAATGGAGACATCCCTTTACAGCAGGCCCTAGCCGCTAATTAAAACATAGTAACATTTAGGGCTAATTCATACCAGTGCGCTCATCTGTGCTTTAAAATGTAGGTCAAGTATAGACACATTTGTTTTTTATGTGTCCTGTGCACATTACAATACTGCGTAATGTTAAAATGCAACATGTATGTATGCAAATCATGTATATGCGTGTAAACCAATCATCAACGCAAAAAAACTTTGCATTATCATTAATTTTCATCCATTACAAGCACCCATGTCAGTGGCCATCTTTGGGGAATTGGAGAGTGAGGAGAAGAGGAGTGTGTGCACAGCAGGTGCTTTCTAGTCAGCCAGTCAGAATTTATTGATATGACTTTGTCCAAAATTCCACTTTACTTTCACATGCTGAGAACAATGGATATTCCCAATAGCATCTTCTCACTTGCCCCAATCTCCTCATATGCCTCTTCTTCCTAAATACAGCAAGTGCAATCACAATGATTAGGGCTGTTGTGCTAGAAATTCTTTTTACCAAAAAAACCCTTCAAACCACTCCAAAAAACTCTCCAAAACCCAAAAATGTGTTCACTCGCTCCTTCTCTAACCCACAAACGTGATGTCACAGGAAAACCTACAAAATGCATTATATTTTAACGCATGTTAAAAACGCCTTTATCCAATCCAGTCCGATTCACTGAAAACAGATAGATGGGATCCATTTACCCGGTCGGATGACAGTCAGATGTAAATGGATAGTGGGTCTGTTTACATTGGACTGCCCATAGAGGAAAGCAGGCTTTATCTGTGTCCTCTCTGTATAAGTGGAGCAGACACGGGCCTGTCATCCTTCTGCTGCTCAGTGGGGGTCAGCGGACAGATCCCCTGCTGAGAAGGTAAATCCACTGGCGAAGTACACCCGTGTGCAAGGGGCCTTTTAGTGTTACACAATGCTTGTACTTTACTGCACTTTTTCACAAGATAAGTGGAAGCCAACTCATAAAAAACAAGGTACTCCTTAGGTGGCAATGTCACAGAGTGGACCATAGTGGGTAATTTACCATTTGATTAGAGACCCATCTACAATTGTTTTATTTAAAAAAATATATTTTTGTTGATTTACCCCTCAGTTTCTCCTGGTGACCTTTGTCTTGATTTGTCACCAGAATTAAATATTAAAGGAAAATTCTCCAATCAGGATACATGTTCCAATAGCAACTCTCTAAACTGGGAATTCCATTTACTCATTTCTTACTTTGTCTCCAAATATAGGAAGTGCAAGAAAATATCTCCAGCAGGATACAAGTATCAAAAAAAAACATAACAAAATAGTTGCTTTAACCCTTCCCTGCTTTATTTTAAACTAATAAAAAGTATGGTTTTAAAATAAAAACTTAATACAATAAAAATTCAGGAAAGTAAACATGTGAAATAGGCATCAACAATTAATTACTTGAAAGTCACTGAAATAGTACCTGCTCGTGGAAATTCCAATATCCGTTCCTTTTAATAGGAGCAGCACATTTGTAGGTTATACATGTTTATGAAAATGTAGATGGGAAAAAGATCAAAAGTCAAATCATCTGTTCAGTTCATACGTGTGTGATATTCATCATCAACCAATGCAGTAGCTGTTCTTTGGTTCCTAAGTTATATATTACTCTGTACAAGTTCAGTTTTTACCAGTACAATGACTCTTATGAATGGCCTGGAATTAAATAGTGGCCTAAGACCATTAATGCTGATCTTCAGACAAGGATGTTCTGTTGTGCCAGATCCTATTTAATGCATGCATCTGTGCTGCCTCATTTACCTTCGCTATGCTCTTCATTATTTTTTTAATTTCCTCTGTAACATCACAGATAAAAATAAATGTACCTCTCCTTGTTCCAGCCGCTGTTTCCCAAGAAGCACTATGAATGTTTAACCAGCTGCGAGTTTCTCAAATCCATCTTGTCGGCGAAGCAAGGTGAATGCCCCGCTCCAGAAAAAGCCAGCGGATTTGCAGCGGCTTGTGTTGAAAGTTGCGATGCAGATAATGAATGCTCTGGGGTAAAGAAGTGCTGTTCGAATGGATGTGGCCACACATGTCAAGTACCTAAAAACTTGTATAAAGGTAGGAAGTGTTTGGCATTTTCAATGAGTCAAAGAAAAGTTTGCTGTTCAACTCACAGTAATAATGGCCTTGCACATATTGCAGCCAGACTACTGTATCCAAAGATGTATACTATGCAATTTGCTTGTGTATACCAATGTGTATATTTACTTACCACAATCCTGCATAAATACTTGAGGTTGGCATCTGTTTTTCCTATTGACTTTTCTGCTGCAGGAGCTGGCAACCTCCATTGTCATGCAGTCAGACTGGTGCTGCTTGTGTCCTTGTCTTTTTATAGCAATTTGAAAGTTAGAATAGAACTGCATCAATACTAGATCCAAAAACAAGCAGCATTCTCTAGAAAGATCTCTAAAAACAGGTTACCTGATCAACTCACAAGGAGACTTTTTGCTAGTTGCAGAGGGTATCTGTACAATTGGTGGGCTTTGTTGATGCTTTTTAATTAAAGATGTTTGCTGTTTGTCACTGTTTAGTACCTGTACCATATTTGGTTGCCACACGCTTATACTCATCCTTGGTCCTACATAGCAAACACTAAATATTAATTCACAAATCATCCACTCTACACCATCTGCATCCAGTACATATCACTTTATTATATACTTATCTGCCTGGGTCACCGACTAACAACAAGGTGCTCAAGTACTGTAACTGTTGACATCTTACTGTGTGAGTGCAGGTGTCCATGCATGTTTCTGTTTCCTGGACACAGCTAAAATTAGACCTTGTAGTGTTGAAAATTCTTTGTGGGTCACCATAAAGATTGATTATGATGTCTGTGATGATTCAAGCACACTCTACTGTTCAGAAGGCAAATGTAACACACCTACCCTTAGCATTGGTGGTCAGGCAGTATAGCTGGCTCTGAGTTCTTCATCTATAACAGGCCCTTTTACAGGTACTCAGTTGCCTCCAGGTCATTATACACAATGCTATAGTGCCTGGTACCACAGCGGGACAGACGCTTGCTAGGCACAGCAAACAGGTACTTGCGGTTGGCAGACAGGCAGAGTGGTGTAATGGCAGTCCGGGATCAGGGCAACGTTCAGGGAGTAGTCAGGGTCAAATCCATGGTCAAAAGGCAGGCAGAATTCAGACAGTAGTACAAAGTCCAATCCGAGGTCTAATAACAAGGAAATCCAAACTAACTGGCAGGTCTGGGATCAAGTTAAGGTAAAGGTTAAGGCATGGGAACAAAGGCAGGTAAACAGGGAGAGAACGCATTGCAAACATTATCACAAGCATGACTCTAAGGATTTGGCAGACTTAAAACAGGTTTGGACTCCACCCAAAGGCTGTATCTATATCAATCACCCTGCAGGTGGACAATCAGACAGAGAGAGTGCAGCTCATCCAAAACCAGGTTTCTGGAATGAGACCAGCAGCTCCATGGAACAGGAGCACTACAGGCTCCTGACAGCAGAGATACATCGAAGAATAGTTAGAACATTACCTACGAGTATCATATGAAATAGACTATATTGTAAAAGTGTAATACTGTAATCTAATTTTCTTTTAATTGAAATGGCAGTACTTTTCAGTAATCTTTACCATAATACAGTAACTATCATAATAGGCCATATACAAACCTTATAATGCTCCTAGCAAGTATGGCCTGTTTAAAATCATGAATCATCAATTTAAAACCATTTTAATGATAGTATTCTATATAGAATTGGCCATAACTAAGAGCATATGTTTTATGACAGCTGTCATTCATGAGAAACATCACATAACTCTTAGAAATAAGTCTGCATGGTAGCTATTATTGTATTATTAATTTAGCATTTCAAAAGGACTTTCTGAAGGTATACATTAATGCATTTAAATCACAGTACCAGTGTAAGAATGTTCGTATGGAACTCTGTCCCAAAATATTGACATATGTTGTAATAGGTTAAAAGTTTCCAGGTTTGTTAAGTTGTTCCCTTATGGGAAAAATATTACCATATAGTTTAGTAATGCAGTGTACTGAGTCATAAAGACATTTAGTTCAGTGGTCCTGACAAATAAAAACAGAACAGTTACTTGGTCTAATGCAAACTATATGGACACCTAATTGTAAATGAATGTCTGTATATTGGTTATTGTCGGTCTCGGAAATCAAGTGTCATACATATGGCAAGCTGAGGAATCTTTGTCACATTGTCATTGGAGTGCAGTCAACCTATACTTCTTGCTGATTAGGATTTCATCGAACGTGGATTGGACCACCACCGAATTGCAGGGTGAAGATGCTAATGCATTATGAGTCCACCTGGAGCAGTATTTGCTTTCCAACCTGTCCAATTACCACTGACATACAAGATGACCGAGGCTTTGGGCTTTCCCACTGCAGAATAGTTCTTAAATTTTCTTAGCTGTTACCTATAGTTATATGATATTTATTATAGGCTACCTCTTATAGGACTTAGCAGACATCTTAACATTGGCTCTGCTTTTTATATTTTCAAGACTCTTGCCTTCTTACAGGTCTTTAGGGTTCAGGTTCTAGGCTCTGGGTGTTGCCTTACTATTTAAATAGTGATCAACCCCTGTAGTTACGAGTTCTGTCCACCTCCCATACTGCTCTATCGATCCATCACTGTTAATTGGTGGTCTCATTGAGCAATAGTGATATGAGAGAGGGGGTAGAACATAGCCACTGACTACACAAGTTGATTGCTGAGTGCCTTAAAGGAGAAGTGTTGGATTATAAAAGACAAACACACATACCTCTATGGTGCAGCACTGGTCTGATGCTGGAGCTGTCCACCTCCGGCCCTAAGTGCAAAAATTAAATGATCACATGACTGCCGATAGCTCATTTCTTGTTCTTCACTGAGCAGAGAGCAATGACTGTCAGTCACCACCCTTTTCTCCGCCCCTCACTGGAGTGCCAGGTGGAGAAGAGGCAGGAGCATCTGGCTCAAGCTCCCAGTGGTGTGCTGAGAGGCTGAGCCAGATGCCAATCAGGCATCCAGGTGGATCCCGACATTATGGTCAGGATCCTTTCAGAGTCTGGAGTGGCTCTGTGACATCAGCCGACAGCGTGCTTTAGCCTGCTGTTGGCTGATTCTGGACTGCGTGAATGCACTGGAGTGAACTCCTGTGACCAAGAATACAAGTATGGCCAAAAAAGATTTGGCTATACTTTTATTTTAAGCCTCAGGGCATTCTAACAGAAGGTGCAGTCCACAGGCAGGCAGCAGGGGTGTTTGCTGTGCTGTTACTTGAACAGAGCTTGCTTTGTATCATATTGACATTTTTTTCCAGGATACAGGAAATGTATCATTGCACCCTAAAATAGTTACACACAAAAATAGAATTTATTTGTTAAAAGGCATCATTCCTATCTGCCAAGGTTGCTCAAACTATCTGATCTTTTGTCTTATTGATGAAAGATTTGGCCATGTATGGCTAGTGTGAGTAAAGGAGAGTTAGGAAATCATTGAGTTAATGGTATTGACAAATCCGGAGATAACAGTCATTATGTTACTACAGGCTTCCCAGCAAATGTTCAGTGAATAATCTGACATTAGTTCATTGTTCATCTACTCACAGCAGGATCTCTGCACTCAATGACAGGCTCTTAAAACCCAGATGCTTTTTACCTGCAGGATAAGAGGCTAATTGTGCTCTCTTTATTACCCTTTCATTATCTGTAGAAAGTGATACTAAAGCCTAGTTGGACAATATAAAAGATACATTATTAAAGTCAAGCATGTCCAATTCTGTAAATGTACATTACCTTTAGGTGACTTGTAAAACTAGTCATTATTCGGAAGAGGGCATGTCATTCAAACCAGGAAAGCCATGTGTACATCGCACCCTTTCATTACATGATGAATTAAAGGAAATGCTTAACTTAATAGTACTAATGATATCTCCCACATCTGGTAGTGTATATTGCTTTAGCAGAAGCATGCTGACACGTCCCATCACTGTTGAATTTGTAAAGCTAAAACGAAGCATTCCAGAGTAGATCCAATCCATTTTACAGGACCACCAATAAAGGTGAATTGATACTTAAATGATAATTAGCCTAGATTATTTTTCTTTGCACTAAAATATTTAAATATTGTAAGTTGTTTGTAATGTTTCTTCAAAACATATTTTACAAAACTTAAAATGGAATTCCTGCTCAACACTATGTTTTAAAATGCACCCCCTCCTTTCTGCTACTTATGCTGTCTAATCTGTGTTTAAAAAAAAAATGCATATACTTTCCTATTTTAGGCCAGCTACGGTCCAGTAATACGATCACTGGTGGCAGCAGGGGGACAGAGGGAACACATGACAATAGCCCCTTAATATATATTAATATCAGTCTATGTCATCTCCAACATTAAGACTGCAACCAATGATACTCTGATGCATTGCACTTGTGTTGCCAGGGAACATGCTGATAGGAGGAGAGTGCAGAGTGAGCAGAGTTGTTGTCTTATGCAGGCCATACATGGGTCGAATTCCAAACAAATTTTCTCTATAAAATGTGAAATTTCTTGCATTTTGTGATGTGATGGTGCCACCATTGATTTCGAAATTAAACCAACCAAACCTTCAATTTCTTCTCATGTTGCTACAGAAACGAATTTTCGTGGCCAAGAATTTTCTTTTCTTTCCAGGTCACAGCTTTATATTTCTTGCATGATTCTCCCATCATTGATTCGAAATTCATTCATTTTTCCAAAAATTTCCAACATGCCCAATCACTCAAATTTGATGGTCATGGTCATGGTTTCTGTGACCCACTAATAGTGCAAAATTTGAACGAAAATTCCTAGAAAATGTTCGAAGGAAAATTAATTCGGAATTCGACCCTCTGTATGGTTGGCTTTAATGTGCTGCTGCTCTTTTACTGCCAAACAGCAGTTTGTGAGTGGGTGTCTGCCACCACTGTACTCATTAAAGCTGAGCTTCAGGCAAACAGCTAAATAAATAGATGAACCATTCATACTGTATGTGCTTTTCCTCCCAAATGATTTGTAGGTCTGTACATGCAGACCTGGGATATA